ATGATCTCCTTATAAGGCTTGGGCAAGCCTCCTCCCTTTGAGCTAGCTTTTGGGGTGTGAGTTAGGCCTAAGACCTAATTTAACAGTATTACTATTGTTACTTTCCATGCGGTTTTATTTTTCTATTCGATGATTACCAATTATTTCTTGTGTTTCGATTATTTGTTATTATCTATTAATGTTGTTTTTCTTGTTCTTTTTTTCTACTTTTCTACGATGTGCCTTTAGTACTGTATTTCTTTTTCTTACTCATTTTTGTGACTTGTGATGTTTTACTTTAACCGAGGATATATCAGAAAACAGTTATATCTACTTTCACTAGGTAGGCTAAAGTTGCGTACACACCATTCTCTTCTCATATTCCATTTATAAGATTACATTGGTATATGTGGTTGTGGTTGATTTCTCTCTTTTATTATGAAATAAAATATATACTTAGAAAAAATACAACAAAAAAACAATATATAATTGTCGGGGGGGTACAAAATAATTCAATAGACAACTAAATATATTGTGGTGAGATAGTAAGTATCTCATCATTTTTAATATCAGATATCTTGAATCCTATAAATAAATTTGCCTTTTGATAGAAAATAATTTGCTCCTTAAAGAAAGAACTTGTGGTGAAAATTTGAATTGATCGAACCCCAAAACATTAAATCTTAGAAGAGAAGTTGATGAATGAGATATGACTTTACATATGATAACCCTATATGTCAAGAACTTACCAAAATGAGAAGAAATATATACAAGATGAATTTAATTGTTTGTTGTCAGGAAAAATTTTCTCTTTGTGCATATGATGAACCTTAGAAATAGTGTGTGTACACTTTAGTGGTAAGTTTTATATTTTTTTATTATATGTAAAAGTATTAATGAATTTACTTGATCATCTTGAATATCAGTCTTTGTGCTTTTGTTGTTTTTCTCTTTTAAATGTTGAAAATACAAATAATTATGTCGGATCTTACTTAAGAAATTGCATGATCAAGAACTTATCACCTAAAAAATAATATTATATTACTATCGCGATTGAGTGCTAGCAATTATTTTCTTAAAAAAATTGCTAGCACTAGAGAGTTTAAACATATGCTAGATTGGGCTAGCATTTTGGATATCACTAAATGAAAAGCTCGATGGATTGAATTATTGATGTCTATACCGTTAAGGCTAAATTTGGCAAAACTAAATCCTTTTTGACAGCTCTATGCATTATGAAGATATTAAGTAGCAAAAGTAAAGATGGAACAATTCATCAATCTGACTTCTAGAACGAAAATAAAAACATATGAGGAGGATTCCCTTTTGTGGCATTCCTTTCCCAAATAGCAAAAGATTAGACCTAACCATTATTGTCAAAGAATAAATCTATGCACTCGAAATTCAAACACCATCATATCAAATTAAAAGGAATGTAAATTTAATCCATTAAGCTTTCGAAACAATTGCAACATTACAACTTTGAGAAAAAGAAATCACATAAAAAAAAAAGAAGCACAATTTTACACCATTTCTCATAAAACAAAAGATATAAATTGATACAGAAAAAATAATGATAAAATCCGATTATTACCATTAAGGTAAATTAATTAATCAATTTAGTTACCACCACCACCACCACCACCTTTACCACCAAGCAAACCGCCACCAAGTCCCATGCCACCATTTATATCATGGCCAAGACTTCCACCAATACCAATTCCCAAGCCACCTAAGCCACCACCACCACCACCTACGCCGCCTGCACCGAGCATGCGCCGCCCTAACACGTCAGCAGAAACCATAATGCCACTAAAAAGAACAATTAAGAGAACTACTCCAATAACACGAGTTGATGAGATAGCCATTATAACTTAGTAATATTTATGAATGAATTAAGAGATAAAAAGACCAAATAATTAATGAGAAAGTTGATGATTAATTCACTTGTCTAGGCAAGTATATATAGTACTTATTAAGTATTAACAATAACATTATAATATTGAGCATGTGTTTGGAGTTGTGAAATATATAATTGTGAATGATTAGATCTTAGGCAAATATTCCATTAATGATTAGAAGATAATTAATGATGGGATCATTAGGATTTAGTAATTAAGCAATGCACGATTGTATATATTGTAAAAAAAATTTAAAATGTTTTGTACTCATGTAGTGGCTTTCCATGAACTATAGAAAATAATTCTTGTGTATATTGTGTTATAGAGAACTTCCCTTTTTTTATTTAGTGAAATAAATACATATTTAGAAATAATATAAAAATCACTATAGTTATCAAGCGGATTACAAAATAGTCCGATAGACCATCAAAGGTTGGTGTAGGTGATGATAAGTATCGTGTCATTCTTTTCAAAGATCTTGAATTTGATATCTGAAAGTAAAATTCTTTTTGATAAAAAGTATTTTGACCCCCAAAAGGATTTTCTAGTCTAAATTCGAATCAATCGAAGATCAATTTTAAGCATCGAGTCGAGAAAAATAAAAAACGACTAATACAACATCAAATCTTAGTAGAGAAGTTGATGAAAGACGTATGAGTTATTTACATATGGCAACGCTATCTCAAGAATTCACCTAAAATGAAAGGAAATATGTGATTTCTAGAGGTAGTAAATGGGTTGTTTGGTTGAAAGTGGGCTAATCAAGATGAGTTGAATCAATAGACGAGTCGATGTTCAACTTTGTTCAAAAGTTTTTTTTTTTTTTGGGTTAAGATATATGTTTTGAATCAATCAAGTGATGGGTCATAATGCACTACTAAAAAAATAGTGAAAAACAAGGAAAAAAACGATGGATTATGTCACTTTTTTGAGTGACGCAGCCCAATTCGTTACTTTTTTACTCGACGCTTTTTAAAAAAACGACAAACGATGTCGCCTGCCCGGACATGCGCCGGTCTAACACGTCAGCAAAAAATAATGACACTAAAAAGAACAATTAAGAGAACTACTCCAATAATACGAGCTGACATATCACCCATTTAAACATTCAACATGTGTGTTAGGAGGTGTGAAATAATTAATTTTATGCTGATTTCAAAATCCCTATAAAGTTGGCTTTATTATATATAAAAAACCACGATCAAGGCATTTTCATTACCAGAAAAATGTGAATTACATGGGAATTTTCTTGAGGATTAGTATGAAAATCTGTAGGAAACTTGTTTTCCTGTAAATTTTCATACTAATCCCCAAGCAAAATTCTCATGTAATTCACACTTTTATTATAGTGATTGTACTGAATATGTTGTTATTGACTTCATGTCATATTATACGAGTTATCAATTTCAACTACATCCTTACATTCTTTTTGTATTATTGTGTAATGTGAACTATGATTTTCCCTTATGAACAAATTAGATTAATTAAATCACAATCTTCATGAAGATATTTTATTGACAAATAAAATCTTTTTTATTAGTTTTTATAAAGTTCGTGGGAAGCCAATAAGAAAGATTGCTTAATGAGCCTTGATCTCTTTTAATAATCATAAAACTTACATATATATTAATATATAATAGCCAAACAATTGTATTATTCTTTTAATTCATTCACAATGTTATAATTATTTCATACTTAGCTCCTAAGTACACATGCACAATATTAAAATGTTATTGGTAGTACACTACTATTGAAAAAAGATTAAATGACCAACAATTTAACACTATATATACTTGCCTAGACAAGTGCACCCTTTTTCGATCCATATCAGCATTTCATATAGAAGTTATTATCTCAACAATATTTGACCTTTTTAACTCTTCTTTCATAAATATTAAGGTATAATGAGTATCTTATCATCTCGTGTTATTGGAGTAATTCTCTTAATTGTTCTTTTTAGTGGCATTATGGTTTCTGCTGACGTGTTAGGGCGGCGCATGCTCGGCGTAGGTGGCTCGGGGGTGGTGGTGGCGGTGGTGTGAGCTTTGGAATTGGTATAGGTGGAAGTATTGAGCATGTAGGAAGTATTGGCATTGGAATTGGTGGTGGTTTGCTTGGTGGTGTAGGTGAAGGCGTTGGTGGCGGTAGACACTAAATTAATTTACTTTAATTATTTACAAGATTATTGTCGCTAAATAAGTGATGTTTTAAAAAAATTAAATTGTGTTTAATTTGGAGTGGTAATTCTTTTGACTTAATTAGCTCTTTCTTTCTTGAATTTTGACTTATTTATTTATTTATTTTAGCTAAAAACGATTTTATTAATTTATATATAAAATTTAGTTAACAGTATATCGGAATATATAATACTAATGTGATAATTACCAAACTTAGCTAGATTATTTCATGCATAAGTATCATTGTGTGATGTATTAATATCGATCTGATTATTATTTCTCCAAAAAATATCAAGGATAATTATTTTTCATTTAAATAATTTTCACTTGAAAATTAGCCCTACAAATTTGAATAATTCTAAGAAGGGGGTTCTTGTCGATATATGAATATGTGATTCCCTAAAGATTGATAGTACTAAGAATAGATGTGCACACTAGCACAATTTTTAGTACTATCAACCTTTGCGAGTAATTACGATCATCTGCATAGAAAGATAAGATGGATTTGGGCCTTTAAGAGATAGTTTGATTGGTTCGCGATCCACAAGGCAATATCCACTTGATAATTAATGTCCATACAAATAATAAATAAGTATAGGGACATAGGGTCTCCTTGACTAATCTCTCCGATAACTCAGTTTTGGACCCATTAACAAGGACTCGGATGGTAGTCGATGAGATGAAACTCATAATGAGTTTAGTGATTCTCTTGGGGAAAACTTTTTTAAAAAAAAAGCGTACATAAAGGACCATTCTAGTTTATCATAAGCCTTTCCAAAAGTTGACCAAATTTAAAACGATAATTTTTGTAATCACTTTATAGATAGTATTACATAATCCAATTGTATCATTTTGTTTATTTAAGAGGAAAAGTGACAAATATATCTTCTAATTTTGTGATTTAGAATGGATATATATCTCATTAAAAAAGATGGTGTACATATCCTTATCATATAACAAATGGTGTATTTATACCTTCTTTATCTAACAAATGGTGCATATTTACATTTTTTTTAACCTACTGATAAATTAAAACAAATAATTCTAAAACTAGTTTTTAAAATCCAAAAATGTCACATGAGTTTAAAAATTACCGCGTACCTTTTTATTTTACCTCTATAGACTTGACTCTGATCCGACCCGACTAAACAAACCAATCCTCTTTTATTCAGATCTGACGCAAACTCATTTTATAACTGAGTAGGAGACAAATTGAAAAAAAAAAATCCATTTGGATTAGGTCTAGAGAGGAATAAAAAGTGGATGAGGTAATTTTTTGAATCGACGTGTTATTTTTAGAATTAAAAAAAAAATCAGTTTTAAGATTATTATTTTTCAATTTAGTAAAAATATAAGTTTGTTGACGAAAAAGGTAAATATACACCATTTATTAAATGATAAGGATATATATATACATGCCACTTTTTAAATGAAGAATATATTCATTCTAAATCGCAGAGTTAAAAGATTTATATTTTTTCCCTGGTGTGATTTCTGCTTTCCAAATCTTTGGAGTTGCTGTTGTATCCAAAGCATAATGACAATAATAGAGTGTGAATTAATTAATTAGTACTAGTAATACCTTTTTTCTACAATAAATAAGAGTTTGCCATTAGCTATATATACGTTATTTTGAGGGAATTATCGTAGATGTAACTTATTTTTGTATATTAATTAAACGTCGAAATGAATATAGAAATACTGAAATAAAAATATAAATCTAATAAAACTATTGAAAAAATATGTGATAATTTTGGAGTTTCTACTTTATGTTATTTGATATAATATTCATGGTATATAGAACTATCAAAATGACTCCATCAATAATCAAATCCACCCGACTCTTCATTTGACATGACTTTCAAAAATATTAGCCCAGCCCAACATCTGTTTAAGTAGGCGAGGGATAGCAATTCTAATGTTTTTCCAAAGTGAAATTCAAATTTGTCATTTCTACGGCAACAATTACTTATTCTTTAAACAATTATCATCCTTATTTTCACAAGGGCATCTTTCGTAATAGTACATGTAACAAAAAGTATTTTCAATAAACATGATTGTATGAATATATAATATAGGTATAATGTATTGATATTGTATAATTAGTTATGCAATGTATCGATATTATATAATTAGTTATGTAATGTATTGATATTGTATAATTAGTAGATTATTGTGTATATATGATATATAATTATGTATCAAAAATATATATACATTCATATACATTGTTTATACAATATTAATATATGCATAATGATATTGTATTTTATTGCTTGCTCAAAGATGAACAAAAATTTAAGTGTGTAGTGATGATGATTAAGCAAAAATGCATATATATAGATACGTACTTACAAAATTATCTTTAACTATAACCGATACTCTAGTTTTGTTCGAGACTACACATTAATCTTAATATTTACCATTTACAAACTAATAATTTTAAAAAAATACCATGCATTAATTAAGTTATTGTTTAATTTTAATATTTTTATTTTTCCTTGCTAAACATGTCATGATTTAATAAGAAGGTCAATAGCTCATCAAAATTAATAAAGAGATATATGGTTCAGTACTGATTTTGCAAAGGAAAAAGATCCCACACAAACAATATAAAAAGGGGGAAAGGGGCAAATATACCCATTCAACTTTAAAAACAAGCAATATAAAAAGGAAAAATAATATATTCCTTATTAAAAGCACGGTGCATATATATTTTTGAAATTTAACAAATGATACATATTTATTCTTTTCGTTGACAGACCTACATTTACTTAATTAAAAATAATA